GAGTCTTTGCCTAATTTTCTTGACTGTTATCAGCTGCAGACTTTACTTTGCAGTTAGAGTCCATACAGAGCAGATTCAAGCTTTACAGTTAAAGCAAACAGCACTGAGTGATGAACTGGCAACTGCCTCTAGGCTGAGGAAATCCGCGGTGAGCTCATTTTATGTAAATTTTGTGTTTTTAGTTTGTTATTTGCCATTCTATTGTAGTCTGACTACCGGGATTTTCTTCAAGAAGGCAGCCTTTACGAACAGCCAAATTTGGCAGGAACTGTTTCTTTTGTCTCGAACACTAATGTTTATAAATTCTTGCCTAAATCCTGTTATTTATTGCTGGAGAATGAGAGACATCCGACACGCTATCAAGGACATACTGAGAAATACATGTACACACAAAAGATAGAAGACTTAATTGGGGATAACCAAAGCAGAACATTGCAATTACTTACCAGTTCATCTAGATCTACATAATATTTTCTTTAAGTTTTTCTTTTCTCTTTTTTTTTTTCTAATGCAAACTCAAAATAACCCTTTTACTTTGAAAAGGTCTCATTTTCATCTAATAACAAATGAAAAGTACAGAGAGAGCGGATTAAAAAGGCTCGAAGCACGACTCTTGATCGATTGCGTGTGTAACGGAAAACTTTTTGTCATTGAGACGTAAGTGTGGAAATGATAGATTGAACTGGCGAGAATTGAAGGTCTATAACTTAAGTATGAACTGTAGTGTTTAGCCTCCATTGACGACTTTTTGTTAAGTTCTGTTAGTTACAACCACAAATGGATCTAAAAAAGCCTCGTTTATTACAAATGATATTAAATAGAAATACTACGCTTTTGTTCTGTAACTCAAGGTCTACAACGGTATTTTCTCTGTGTTTTTCTAAATTACTCCTCTATTCTTTAATGTAGTTTTTCTAGATGTAATCAACTAAAAGTCAGGTTTTTCTGATCCACCTTGAGTGGATCAGAAAAACGTGACTTTTTGCAAACTGTTTCGTTCACATGTAAAGTAATGATTCCTGAGCTTTTCATGGTTCACTGGTGTGTTTACTGGACCGGCTTTCAATGGCTTACTGGTTCTTCTTAGACTTTTGTATTTCAGTGTGCAACTTTTCACCTTCCAGCGGCGATAACTGAAGATGCAAAATAGTTTAAAACAGTAACATCAAACAACTAACACACTGGCATCAGACGCTGCGGTTTATAATTACTGGAAAACGGGTCATATTGCATCCCCCCTTTT